GCCAAGTAAATTCAATCAAGTATGTCATCTGATCCTTTTGTTCATGAAATCAAGAATATTTTTTTTAAGCCTCATGATACTTTCAAGTTTGAATTCAAGTATAATCTACTCTATTTTGAGGAATAATTATATATTTTAGAAGGAAAAGTACAATTACATCTTCTTCAAGTTGATCATGACTTTCCAATAACCAAACATTTTAGATACAATAAGACTTTAGAGTTAATATCAAGAGATTTTTTGTAGCTTTAAATGTGAAAGGTAGTTAAAAACTTTGTATAATCATGTGATATTTGTTCAAGATCAAAAACTCCTCATCATTGATCTTATGGAATTTTATAGCCATTACTTATTCCAAAACAATCATAGTTTTTTATTTCTATAAATTATATTATAAATCTTCTAATCTTAAATTTGTATGATTCTATATTTGTTATAGTGGATCATTTTACTAAGATAGTATATTTTATATTATGTATAAAATCTATTACAATTAAAAAAATGACTAAATATTTTTTTAAAACATCTATCACTATCATGGATTATCCTAAGATATTATATCAAATAAAAAGACTCAATTTGCATGAAGATTTTGGAGAATTATTTTCAAGATTTTAAAGATAGATATAAAGCTTTTTTTAGCTTTTTATCCTTGAATTGACGAGTAAATAAAATGGATGAATAAAGTTTTAAAGTAGTATTTGAGGCGTACCATGAATTATCATCAAGAAGAATAGATAACTCTTTTTCCATTAGCAGAGTTTGCTTATAATAATTTGATATATTTTTTTATTCAAAAAATAATTTTTTTTTACCAATTATGGTTATCACGTATGACTTGATATTTTTGACTTTTTAAAGGTTAATAATTCTAAAAAAAAGATTTGACAAATTATTTGTTTGAGCTTCATGCAACAATAAAAGTACAATTAATGGAAGCTCAAGAATAATAAAAGATCAATGTAGATGCATATTGCAAGGAACAACCACAATTTAACATGGATGACAAGATATGGCTATTTTGTCCTAATATCAAGACTATTCATCTTTGTGATAAGTTTGACTATTATTGGCTTAAATCATTTTCTATTTGTGAACAAGTCAATCATGTTTCTTATTGATTCTATCTATTAGAATCTATAAAGATCTATCTTATATTCCATGTATTTCTTTTTGAGCCATATAAGATAATGAATATCTTGAAATGAAAAAAAAATGCCTCTTTGTTCTATTGAAGTGGATAATAATAAAAAATTCAAAGTAGAAGAAGTTTTAGATTTAAAGTGGAACCAAAATAGATTGAAATATCTTGTTCATTGATGAGGATATGATATTAGTGAATGCATATAGGAGCCAACAAATAATCTTGCAAAAGCAACAAAGAAGGTTGAGGCTTTTTATTGGCAATATCCTTCAAAACAAAGGTGAAAAATAACAAATCATTTTTATAAAAGAAATAAGATCTAAAGAAGATAGTATTTTATCTTCTACTCTTGTTTGTAGCTTATATATATTTGTAATACTAAAGAGATGAAGAACCAACAACTAGCAAATTTAACCCATTTATTGACTTATCAAAAGAGATAATATTAATATCACAACCTTTAAGATGACATAATTAAAATGAAGATCTTTAAAAATGACATGTCTATTCTTGAATAGATGGTAATATACATCGTGTTTGGTATTACAACCTTGGAAGAGACTCCTATTGTTTGGTGATTTTATTAGGGATTGAAACTATTCCTAACATTGTTTGAAATATTTTATTTGAAAGAAGTACAAAGGCCTCAACAACAATCAAATAATAGGGTAGTCTATCCATCTTTGTATGAGACTCTATCAATCGATGTAAGTACCTATAAACCATCTTTAAAGACAACAAAGATCAGTAAATGTGGCAAATGTAATTTGCCACATCTTAAATATCTTTAACATATAATGATTTCTCCTTATAGAACTTGTCTTTGAAAGAGGGAAATAATGTCAAAAATATACATATTTATTTTAATATTTATTTATATAATTAAATAGAAATAAATAAAAATATATTTATTTTATAATATTTTTTAAAAAAAACTTCATAAAAGCGTCATAGATGTTGCTTTGATTTTATATGTATTTATAATTAATTGGTTGGTTAGAAACTTTTTTAAAAAATTAACCATGTGTTGATAGCTTGTAAAACAAGTTAACTATATGGTGTACATATAAAAAACTTGCCTTACAAATTAAGATATGTGTCTTAAAAAGTCAACACATTTTGGAGGTCTTATAAGATATTACCATATAGCCCTTAATTAGGAATATATATATGGAGGCAAGAAAAAAGCCTGCTTCATTCTTCTCAAGGTCTTTTTAATCTGTAGTCATGTTTTAAGACTTTCTAATCTTCTTATCTTTGGCAATAGCTATTCTAGTTTAATACTATATCACCTTTGAATGATTTCTTAGTCCTATTGAGTGAGATAAGAGTATAATGAAGATTTCTTATTTCAAGATTCATGTCTTTGATAATTTTATATGAAGATTAATACCAAAATATTTTAGTTTTTTAATAGATGTGAAGTTAGAATTAAAAAACAAATATACAAAAAGATAAAGATTTGAGCTCTTAAAGCAGCTTCTGTACAAAAATAATAAAAATCATTCAAGAATATTTTTTATTTTTAAATCATTTATAAATACATTAAATTATTTTTAAAAAATAATATTAATTATTGGATTTTAAGAAAAAATAGAAAAAGAAGTGGAATTGGGATGGAATGAATATAAGAATGGAAATGGGAAGGGTGGAGACAAGTGGGTATAGGAAAAAAGTTGGAACAAGGTAGTAGAGTTGGTATTTAGAAATAGGATTTGGAAATAGGATCAAGGACATGGAATTAATACAATTTGAATTATTAGGTAGGAAGGATGGATGTGAATTAATAAGTTCCTATATATATATATATATATATATGAAAGAATTAGCATACCTATTGATAAATATATAAAAAGTAGAGAGCCTTAATATTATATTAGAATAAAAGAAGATTTAATTAGATATAAAATTATTTTGATTTTGCATCCAAATATACATATTATCTAAAAGATAATCTGGTCATAAAATCAAAAATAATAGTTGTTTTTGCAACTTTGTTTTAAAAATAAAAAACTTCTAAAAGAATTTTATAGAACAAGTTAGCCAATTTAAATAAATATTTAGTTTTAATCTATATATAAGAAGTTTTTTAAATACCTCTTAAAGAAGATTTCATTCACCTAGCATGTTTGTATCTACTTCTATTTATTTCTATTTGAATACATTTACGTACATTTTAATTATTTATTATTAATGCTTTTATAATAATATTTATATAAGTTTTAAATTTAGAAATATTATTTTTACTTTAAATATTTTAAAATAATAATAAAAATATATCACATTTGTACTAATAATAAATTAAGGTATTGAAAGATAATTTTTAAAAAAAATATAGTTAAATAACTATGAAATAGAAAGAGCATCTTTTATTACTTTTTTATCTAAAAAATCATTTAACTCACTTCTACAAGATGTAAGTTGTTAAAATTATAGTAATTATGAATTTATCTTAACTTCACTTATATCTTTAATTGATTACTAATTTATTAATAAAATTCAAGAGTGGATTTCAAATACAAAAAATTTGTATGTACCTATTAATAATATATTTTTTAATATCACAAGTTTAACATATTTCATAAATATTAGATAAATAAGATTGTACTTAATCTTTTTTTTATAAAGAAATATTTTTAAATATTTATTATTATATTTAACAAGTGCTTTAATTATTTTTAATACAAAACTTATTATATTTTGTTAATATCATATTAAAAATAAAATTGTAATAAATATAGTTATTTCTAACTCACTAAAATTATAAATTATCAAATTTACATAGAATATTTTTTAAAAAATCTAAATTAACAATTAATTGCACCATAAATTATAATTAATTTTAGTAATGGCATAGTCTAATTGACTTCGTTTTTTTTATTTGATTTTTTGAAACAATCTATTTGGGCATAGAATTAAAATCAAGTAACTACATTGTGCATTGGTTAATTAAAAACTTAAGTATTTCAACATATATGCAATGAATGTAAAATTAAAAGAAAAATATCTCCATATAAGAAAATAGAAATCAAAAGGATTCTAGGTGTTTTCACACAATTTGGGCCTAAAACAAAATCCTTTAAAAAATAAATTACCTAAAGATTCTCTTTGTCCAAAATTTGATATATAGGCCAACCTAATTCCAATCAAAATTGGAAATATTTCTTTTCCATAGTTGAGAAACATGCTTCACTTAATTCCATGCTACCTATGGATGTTAATGTGTGGATGAAGTAATTGAAATTCAACCAACTCCTACCAAACTTGAATTCTACCCAACCAATCAACAACTACCACCTAAATTAGAACACCCACTCCACTTTGCAACACTTTTTTATGATGAGAATAGTTGTAAACAAGCACATGACATATTTCCAACCAGGAAGATGTCAAAATTGGTCTTAAATAGGATGTTGGACTCGTAAAAATATCCAACCTTGTAGGTTGAAAATGGAGGGTGTTCAAGAATGGGTCGACTACCTTACTGTTCTTTGATAACAGGTGGTTTGTCATGCAGCTTAAAAAGCAGGCTGAATGGGGCAAGACTTTCATATAACAGCGGCTCCTGACAAGCAGCGGCCTCAGTTGACATGGGCTAGAACAGAACGTGATTAATGAGTCTAGTAACTCTTTGTTGTCAAGATCCATGTTGCTGCTCTGCAACTAAAAAGCACCACGATGCTAATGGTCCATCACGTAAAAAGTTGCTCTAACTTGTGAACATGGTTTCGCGTGCACGACTACTCTGAAGCACACAAGTCCTGGAAGTCTGACCTTAAAGGCTTCACATTACAATATGATTCAAGGAGAAGATGCCAACGAAAACAACATGTCGAATAAACACAAGATCGGCCAGTATGTTGGAAATAAGGAACAATAGTATAGAGAAATGTATAGATAGAAATGGACACACCCATCGAGTTCAGTACGTGCACACTGGGCCTGTCACCAACAATTGAGCTGCTGCTAACGTCGAAGAAGATCTACTAGACAACTTCTACAGTCATGGTTGCTACACATGGTACAATTCGAAACGCTCGTGGGGAGAAACGAAACCTGAGGCTCCTACTCTTAAAGGCCCAATCCGGACAATGATACGTCGCATATCAATAATAATCGAACAAAAAAGAAGTGCATAGTCAGTGATGGGTAGAAACTATGCTCTCAAACCCAATATCGCTGCTACACATGGCCGACTTAGTGAACTAAAGCTAGGTCCTCGGAAAAAGCTTTACTTACAAGGGGAGGATAGTTTAACTCTGAGAGAATCAATCATGAAGAGTTGGCGAAGAGATGGACATATACCCATGAAAGGGAAATAAACGATCGTCATAATCTAGGCCCGAGTTTGAGATTGCAGCTGGCGGAGAAGCCCCCACAGTCTTGCATCTCTTGTTTCTCAGACTGGGAGACGACGTCGAAGTTAAAGAAGAAGTTTGTAAATAGCCTGGGCAGATATATCACATATCTCTATCTGAACCTTGGTCAAAATCCGTGCTTAACGGTGGGAGTCTAACTGGAGTTGCTTGGTTGTTCTGCATCGACCTGAACAGCGAGCTCGACAAATTCAATCCATGGCAAGTTGGAAAAGCGCTCAATATACTGATGTCACCTATTCGATAGGTGGCAGTAAAAATTATCGAAGTCCCGATCTTGACAATGTCAGGACTGGTACGAAGTTCCTCACGGCGACATATGTGCAAAAATGCACAGTGACTTGATCAGCACCAGAGTAGAGAGGTTGTCAATGAGAGCCTCCAGAGACTTCTTCGTCGCCGTCCTCTTCGGAGACTGGGTCTTCGTCGTCTTCGCAAGAGTCGATTCCGTGAGCAGCGTGGCCGTTTCCGAAAGCCCTGATGTGATCTTTCAATGACCGCTTGTGCTTGAAATCCGAGCCACATGTACAGAACCAAAGTTTACCACAGTTCTTTTCGTGGGTTCGCCAATCGCCTCGTACTGCGAATGCCTTGCTGCACTTGCGACACATGAAAGGCTTGATTCCGTGCTTCCTCTTATAATGAGTCTGTAAAGTGCGGAAGTCCTTCAGAGGCTTAGATCGAGGATGGTCGATGTTGTTGCGGCAGCCGGGTGAGCAACAGTAGCATGCCAGCCTCAGCATGGCAGTGGGTTGGGTTCCTCGAAGCGATTCAGGGCCTTTCCTATATTGGGATCCATGGCCCCACATGTGCATCTACACATCCCACATCCGGTTCATTGTAAGTGTGGCCCCACTTTTTATCACCTGGATTCTATCAGGTAATCTAAACAAATCCCTGTGGACTTCTGATCCATTTGCATAGGCAGATACCGTTTTCGGCATTTGTGAGGCCACTCTCAATGGCGAGAAGATTTTCTACGCTAAGAATTTATTTTCTCCAACTTGTGAAGAGAATTTCTAGATGCCACACTTTGCGTTAAAAATCTCACCGAAGAAAGGACGGAAATTAATAAAAACTTATGAATAACAAGTGTGCTTTGTTTTGAGCCTTAAAATAGCATTCAAAAATCTCGAGTAGCGATCTGGATGTGCGTTGAGAGGGAGCTCTCTCTTTTAACTTTTTGACGTCTAGGCTGACCCCCAAGGATAAATTAATATGATCAACTTAGCTACTTCGGAAGTCCACGTGACTTCTAGACTGACAAATAATTTATTCCTCTTGCCGTAAATGGTATATCTAATCAATTCAATAGTTTATGCATAGTTAATCACGCAGTCTGTAGACGGGAAAGTAATGATGAACCGGCCCTACCAGATCATTCGATTTTGATTACACAGTTTCAGTTCCATTTTTATTATGGCACTTCAACTGTAGACTTAAATTCTAATCGGTATGGAAACTGTAGACTGAATGAGCAGTAATCTAGACCGCCGTAACTGCTGAAGATATGTTGGTGGCTTAAATACTGAGATGAATCGAACTACATCAACTGAATTAGAGCACCAAAACCAATTTCAGCGACTCTACTTAGCTCACCAAAGTGCAATCGGACACTAAATGTGAAACACTACATTCCACTAAAATCCACAACTCATAAGAAAGGAAGAGTGTTGAAAGCTACCCACCTGCATGTTGTTGTAGCGATTGAAAGTCTTGTTGCAAACAGGGCAGGAAAATTGCGTAGGACCGACGAGGATCTGAGCGGGAGTAGGGATCCAATACTGTCCCTCATGTAGTCTGCTTTGCCCTCGTTGCAACCTCTCCCTCTCGACTAAGCTCAATGAATCGTACACACTTGGACTTTCAGTGGACCTTGACATGCTCATGGCATCCGAGGAAGGAGGACCTATGTGCAAGGCCACAGTGACATTTTCGTCGGATTCTTCAGAGGCATGCGATGCCTCAGGCAGGAGAATGGCAGTCCGCAGGGCCGGGTCGGACAGGTCGTCGTTACCGGTTGGGGGACTTAAGCTCAGGAATGGTAGCGGCTCGCTCGACACATCTTTCTGCAGGTGCCGCTGCTGTCGCCATTCATGCTCATCACGAGCTTGCTGATTGTAAAACTGGGCTTGCAATTGTCTCTGAAAATTACACGAATATCCATACTGTTCAACTGGCGGGTACTGCAGCAGTGGGCACCAGGAACAAAAATATGTTACTCACACAAATCTTCACCAACTGGATCATGCTGATCATAACACAAACCGAATGCTCCTACAAGAACATTGTCAGCACTGTGCACTTAGCAACAGATGAAGAACCTTAGGACGTTCAAGATCACGACCTAGGATTTCTATTCCTGTAAGTAGTATTTGCAATACAAAAAACTGCGCTTAAATCTGCCTCTGAAGCTATCTAAAGAAGAGCTTCATGCGTTTTCGTGACATATGCTGCATGCCTGGAGATAAATAGTGAAGCATAAAGATCAACAATTACAAAAAAACTACACTTCTGTATGGGCAAGACAGTGCCCACGACTAAATGACCTAGAACTCTCCTTGTGTTCAAACCAAACAACGTGATTCTGTGACTGATAAGTGTACATCTGAATGTACGTTTAGCAGAGCAGAAGTGGGTATAAGAAATAAACGTATACACCACCAATTGCCATGAGTAATCGGAATTCTAAGAGAGAACCACAATGTGGCGTCCACAAGTTTTAGGATTTGCAATAGGACAGCGGCAGGAAGCAGCTGTCGTGATATATACAGGCTCCATATGACCAGGTAATCCCTTAGTTACCCGCTGCGACATAGAAACTCGGAGCGATGAACACCCCTGAGAGAATGCAAGTATCAATGCAAAAATGTACATAAGTCCAGCTATACAAAAAGTGGGATACTGGAACTCACCCTATGGATGGGGTTTGAAGACCGGGGCTGAGCTGGGAAGTAGGACTCGCAGCTGCTTCCCGATGCAGAACCAGGATACAAGCTTTCACAAGGAATAGCCACAGGATAATGCGGCAGTGACTGCCCAGGTTGACTGGGCTTCAGCCACTCGCAGAACGTCAGAATGGGGTGTGCCACTGCTACTGAGCTCTGAGGATTGTACCTTGAACTCATGGTAGCTGAGTCGTCTTTCGAGTTCTCCACCGTATCTATGTCGAGTTCAGACAAGGTAGAATTTCGTTCTAGAAGATGACTGAGTTCTGGCCCATTAGTATAACTGCTGAACAGAACCTTTGCAATAAAAATTGTTCACACAAAGCTACTCAGATATGACCCAGTTTTATCACCAGAACTTCAAAGTGGCAGCAGCACTGTTAGAATTTGATCAGCACGGTGGAAACACAACTGCTGGGTCGAAATAAGTTCTGCACCTAAATACACTAACTCAACTCCAAATTCCAACGCCGCGAAGCTCCAGAAACTTCGACCTGGTTTTTGGATCCTTGCACCCGTGATTCTTCAAAACGGTTTTCAGTTGTGAAGGGATCAACTCCTCGACTCTAAACTTTACGTCCTTGGATTCACAATGACTCTCCTGTGAAAAATTTTCTTCCGAGAACTCGAACTCGCTTGTGGTTTGAAAAAACTCTATATGATGTGAAGGTCGTCCCGCACTCGAAACTTGCACCACCAGGATGGTTGAGATCTCTTCATGTGAGCACAGAACTCATGCATAGGCAGCAATTTAGTTACCCGACTGCCACTGTACTTTCCAACTCCAGCAACTGCAGAGCCTGAATCTGTTGCTGTCGCTGAAAAGCGAATCACAAACTTCTTGGCGCCTTTAAAGGACATACACAAGGGAACGATGCAGCATCGGCGCCCCTACTTCCAATCTGAAGGTAATGCTCCGGCCTTCAAGATCACATCGACAGAACCAGGATTTGCTAGTGTCTGGGCGGGTATGTCGCATAAGAACGGCGCTGGGCAAGACGTAACTAAACCCAAAGATGATGACTTACAAGATGTGACGGATTGCAAGCTGCTCCACCGAAAGATCAATATCCCACGGACATGTTGAATGATCGTCAGGATACCTGAAAGATCACCAAGTCTTGAAAGTTTGGGTTGAACAAACAAGCCCGGAACACAAGAATTACTTTGCAGGCTGACGGCAAGATGGGCTGAGGCAAGCTTTCAAACTTCAGCACGTTCTTAGTGTTTTCCCCCTTGTCAAAGTACGTACAACAACATCCAGCAATTACAAGCTAAGTGGAACCCAGCGTCCTTTGAAGTATCACCACAGAACTTACAGCCGACCGGGTACTATCAGAAACTCGAACAGTTTTGTGACGAGAGGCTGTCAACAGCGTACACAATGGTTATAGGATTCAGTGTCAAAAGATGAAACTTCCCGGGGATGTAGTCGTGTTTGAGATGTCAAGATGCAGATCCGCTACAAATACTTCACAGCAAAACATATCTTCTGCGTCGGCACAATGAAACTAGCATGATTTTGAGTGACGAAGGCGTAATTTGGCTAACTTGGATGCCCTAGTTCCTGAGAGTATGCATTAAGTGCGAAGATAACAGGTCATTCACAAGTGTAAGAGACCTGTGTAGTCGAGAGGCAAGAGCTCGTCCAGCTCTAACAACAGATACTAAATAGAGGGTGCTGACTTGACGCTGTTCTTCTCTGGAGCGAATTTGTGGTTGGCTTGATTGAAACTGACGCTTTAGGATGTCGACAAGTATAAGATACTTTTTTCCAAGGATCAGCTAATGCTTTAAGGTAGAAGTACCTGTAAGTGCTCCGCATTCAACACATGCATGATTTTGTTCGGTGCTGTTAAGTGTCGCAATGCACCAGATTGAATAGCGATGGCCACTGACTAAATCAACGGCTATTCTAATGAAGTGACGAAGAGCATGTGATCTCTAAATCTCAGGAACTTCCTGTTAGCAAGGGCGCACAGAATATAAACCAACTCCTCAACAGAAGCAACTCACATGTGGATTTCACAGCATCCCTACAAGGACTCTTCAAATTCGAAGGATGAGATCCATGAATGTCTGAAATTTAGATCCTCGCCACTGCTTCACATACTAATTATCGGCAACGAGGAAGGGAGACAGACGATTGAGCTAGAGCACTTTACGGACTTCGTCGATCCACTTCACTACTGCACCGATCGCTTACAGCTTCCAGCGATGAGCACGAGCACGACGAAAATGGGAAACTCCAAAAAATATATAATAACAAATAAGAAAAAAAAAAACGAACAAACAAACAGACAGCTCTGTCGGTCTTCAGCTTAGACCACGCGAGTAACACAAAGCGTTGAGGCTAAACACTGAGTTCTAATTGACGTTGAGCCGCGCTTGAGAGATCTACTGCTCCTTCCGCAGTTTTCAAACTAAAACACACCCATACCGGAGGACTCTCCTTCTCTCAGTCACTAGACCTAAGGCTGCTGAATAGCTTTATGATAATCTCGGGCAGCATGCAGGAAGTTGATTCCATGAGCTTCTTCGACAGGAATTGGCTCTTTGAACGCTCGCCAAATTACACAATTCGACTTTCTTCTGGTCTGATTAACTCGCCGCGATGGGTCCTCACTCATCCTATATGCTTCCCCACTCGCCGCTACAACAAACAACCTGGAGTTTTTTTCCCCTCGGCACCGATGATCCTGCGCCGCAACCACACAAATTCGTGCCCTACGAGAAACTACGTATGACTGCTACCGTAGGCCTACGCTAGTGTTCGGGAATGGGTTTGAGTGTCCCGACAATCAGGCCAGCCAGCAGCGCGGCGCCTTTGACTGATGTGCACCAAGTAGGTGGAGCTGGGGTGTTGTTGTCATGATGAACGTTCTCTCTTTCGACCAAGTGATGGATCATGGCGCAACCGTGGGGGTTGCCGGCAGGATTTCTGACACCACCCAGACTTCCATGTTTCGCCTTCGTTTTGCCTTGGCCTTTGCTCCAATCCTTCCAAGCTCCATCCGTTGTCATGCAGACCACTCCCCCAATTATGGTAAGCTCCGTCGATTTTTACTATTATAAGTTTTCTCATCAACTCCTCATCTTGTTCTCTCAGACGAATGACCGCCTTTCAAACCACCATTGCATGATCGGATGATGCCCCAGATTCTCTAAGCTCGCCTTCCTCGATTTAGACTTTACATAATTAACTTCTTCTCCTGTTCGTCTGAGCAACTGGCTGGAACCATCAGCAATTTGTTAAATCCAACATTCTAAGAAACCAATTAAAGTTCTCTCAGTAGATTGTTCGGAACCGAAGTTACTTCTGATGCTACAAGAGCAGTATTATCAAATCTTACTCTTTTTCTTTAACTTCAAACAAAATAACTAGATTATTTAGATAACGATCTACTACTCAAGTAAGGAAGATGTCATAAAAAGGATAATGATCATAACGTGCACTAAGTGTACATTTTCTCAAACACACCCACACACACACACACACACACACATATATATATATATATATATATATATATATATAGAGAGAGAGAGAGAGAGAGAGAGAGAGAGAGAGAGAGAGAGATTCCTATCTTCTGTTTTTACTGCTTCACTTCTTGTTTTAGAGTCTTTAAAACTGTAAAAATAACACGTTCATATGGACTTCCTATTTCAGAGTTTTGCATGGTGTTGTTATTACTATTGTTATTAATTCCACTGGATCTTCGATTAACTTATGATTTCACAAGAAGTTAGCGAGAATAAAGATGATTATTGAATTACACTGACTGGGATAATACAGACATAGTTGTTGAAATTAAAATGCATGCTTCAACCCTCTTTAAACCTTTCGAAAGCAAAGATAAACGAAAGTGCAACTAGATGGTTCAATGATTAATTGACTTTGAATACATTTCTTACGCGCAGCGAGAAAATAAATATAAATTGAAAGTTTCATGTCGTTTTTAACGAGTCTCGTCGTGGTTAATGAAAAAAGTTAAACAGCACAGAAATTGTTCTCGTTTCAATATAAAAAAATATATTGAAACTTATAATAAAGACAATTGATAAAACTTCTGATTTTAATCAGTGTGACAATGAATGGTACCGCACCTCGAGAGAAACTGGAATGAGCGGCGTGGTCAAGGATGCGAAGGAGTACACTGAGCGAGGTTGAGCTGCAATTTGCTTTCAAGGACTTGAATATCCCCCTGACAAATACAGAAGGCGCAACCAGGGACGATATCGCCGAAGCCTGTCGGATGGAAAGTGTGTGAGATTGGCAGACGCATGGAAGAATCTAATCAGAAATCGGAACGTGCAGAGCACTGTGGGCTCGCCTTTCATTTGACAGAACCTCTTTTTTCCTTTTACTAATTTCCTCCCCATGCTTGCACAAATAGCCCTGGCGCCACCTTTCCTCTAAAGTATGTGAGCTGCCACATGAGGACAGAGTTGGGAACACGATATGTGGCAGAATTGAAGCGAAAAACGTTAAGCGAAGCTGAAGGAAGGCAGAATAGAAGCCGCATGCGACATGGGTACTGTGATAACGAGAAAGAGAATGAAAGAATGAACAGAAGAACGTCATAATTAAGAGATCAGCTATATGACTAATAAAGCTTCATTTCTGCACGGAAAAAAGGAAGAAAGCAGCATGATTAAATTCCTCCCTTAACTAACTGTAAATGCAACTGATCCTCTTACATTAAACCTTCGAAATTCAGTTGTCCATTTTCCAGCTTGCTTCATTCATTCATCATCCAGATGGCAAGTTGTTGCGGGGGCTCCTCTTTTGTCGTCTTCACCCAGGTTTGAACAAGGATTGTGTCAGCCGATATCTATTTTTTCCAATCCCTGAACACGGTCCGAGGAAATGGTATTCTATTAAAAATGAGTGCGCAATACCCTAGGTTGTGTCACATGCTGTTACACCTGCACTCACCCCGACGCAGCGCCATCGATCCAATGGATCCAACGGCACAGTTGCTGTATTTTTTCACGTCACTATTTTAAGATTCCAGTCCACCATCCCTCAAAGGCATTTCAGTACAGGGGGGAAGCGTCACTTTCCTTCCCTCTGCTTCCTTCACCTCTCATTGTTCATGTTAGCTCATCAAGCTGAGGTGCTCATCGATTCATCGCTGGAGCCTCCCCTGCCTCGAAGCCCTAAAAGTCTTTTGTCAGTCTGTCAGTCTGTCAGTCTTCCTGGTGTGATGAAACCCCTTTGCGACGACTACGACGGAAACCTTTCGTTTCTCCTCCTCCTCCTCCTCCTCGCCGTCCCGGCTCCCTAAAACCACTAATAATTAATCCTACACCACACATAACACACACTCTACTACCAAGCAAACAGCGATTAGATCGAATGAGCCCCTGCCTCCTACAAATCCCTCTCTCTCTCTCTCTGCGACACAAATGAATGCTCGCTCCTTCCTTCCTTCGGTGCTCACTTTCAACCCCTAGTTTCCAGCACCTTCTTCCTCGTCCTCTTCCGTTCAAATCACACTCCTTTTTACTTTCTCATTAGGGGGCATGAGCTTTCATTATTCTGTTTCCAGCACCTTCTAACTTTCTTACTTTTCCATCATGCGCATGAACTTTCGAGATTAATTTCTGCCAGCGGCTTGCTAACTTTGGCACATTATCTCACATTTAGTTTATTTTTTCTAATTTATTGCAATATTTTACTAGTTTTCTAAATAATAATCACTGATTTATTCAGAGCGTGATTGCTCTACTCACAATTTTAATTCTATGCTTGCTAACTGAGTGCCTTGTTTGAAATTACAGTACCATTTTCATGTTCAATACTCTATGTGTTTTGTAAAATACGTGTATGTATGTATGTATGTATGTATAAATACACAGTTACCTTCAGTATAAATTTGTACCAATGCACACAATTATGATTATTGTTGATTTCACACATTTATTTTCTTTAAACACACCTGCTATAAATTACCATTCGAAATTGATTATAGTCCCACATTTTGGAGACATTTTATGTCAAGAGAACCTATATTCTAACTAATATACAAAAGATTATTTTTGTGTCTTTCAATTATGACTTCATGGCTGCTAAATAGCTTTATGTTCATTTCAATTATAATCAATTTAGATAGAAGTTTAAACTATATGTTTTAAATATATGAGAAAAACTTAGAAAGCCTTATAAAATCAACATCATTTTGATTTTTTTGATATATATATATATATATTTAGAAAGACTTGTCAAAGCCACACTCCAATGGCATAATAACATTTAAGAAATCTCATTATTTTGGTTATTTAAAAATATCTAAAATTTATCATTTTATTAAAAAATATCTATTAAACAAATAATAATTAAAAACTAATACAAATTATTTTTAATTTTTAGATATTAACCAATAAATAATATTTAAAATATAATTTTTTTCTTTGAAAATTAAAAATTTCTACACAATACATATCAATTAATATTAGAAGTCCTATATCATGTTGCCACATAGTTTTTAGTTAAGTAGTATATATAGAGGCAAGAGTAAGGCCTTCCTCACTCTTATCAACTCCTTTCTTGTTTTTAGTCTAGTTTCAAGAATCATATGTTTTCTAGTCTTTGACAATAACTATTCCAGTTCTTCTTTGAATATACATATTTTTTTCTATTTTGTCACTTTCTTTTTAATATAAATTCCACAAGTCTATGTATCTTCTTCAAATTTGTGTCATTAACAAATTAATAAGAATACACATATAATATCATAACTTTATCCTTTCTTAATTAAGAGTAGATTATTCCTTTCTCTTAATAAGACATAAATATATTAAAAGTTGCAGATTATCCTCTTTTAAACTAATATTGTTTCTAGATTTTTTTTTCTTCATTCTTCAATATTTTATTCTATGAGAATATACACTTTTCTTTTTATTGTGCTAACATGGCAAGGCTTGCTGAAATGAAGAGTGCAATGGCTCAAATGCAAGAGCAAATGAAAGAGTTAATGCTTGCAATGTATTAACTCAGTTTACTACTATAAGAAGCAACGAGATTATCAGACAATGAAGATTTAGAGATGATTGGAGTTACTTCAACATCTACACTAAGCCATACTACTGCTCTTACAATGGAACATTGTTCAAATTTCAAGGAACCAAAAATTACATTGCTTAAGAAGTTTGATGGCACAAGATTTAAGATTTGAAGATTCATCTATAAAGCACAACTGGTGATTGAACCACAACTTCAAAGATATCCAACTCAAGGATCACAAGTCAAGTTTATCAAAACACTACTTTCAGATTTTGCTTTATCATGGTTTTCATCAATTCTTGAACAACATGATCTAATATTGGATAATTTAAAAGCATTCTTAACAAAGTTTTGATCTATGTATGGAAAACATGATGCAATCCATGTTGCAACTAATAAGATTTGTATCTTGCAACAAGGCAATCGATCAATGACATTAAACACTTCACAATTTTGATAATTAGCGACAAATTTCAAGTGAGATGATGTAGCACTCATCACCCAATTTTTCTACGGATTATAATATGAAGTAAAGAAATTGATGCTCAATTTACTTAATCCTCAGACATTGAGCTAAGCAATTGATTTTGTTGTGAAATGTAATAATCAACTTTTTGAGTTTTGATCTAAAAAACGCACAAGAAAACCTCAACATTATTACAATTCAATAACAACACCAACGAATTTTCAATCTAAATATTTAGAATTAAAAGACATACAAATTGATGTAGTATATTTAAAACCTCTTATCAAACAAGAAAAGACTTGTCATTGTCAAGAAGGACTATATTTATATTGTGGAGAAGCTAAGCACACTGATCAATATTGTCCAAAGAAACGATGCAACTACAAAATAAGGAGTACTATTGTCAAAGATGAAAACATGTCAAAAAACAAATTTGTCCAGCTACAATAGAGACCGTGTAGCTGGAATCTTTTATAATTCCTAATGAATGTCCTATTCTCTTCTTAGAATCCTCTCCTTGTTTCACAATAGATATATGTTTAAGATTTAATAATCATAAAGCCTAAGCCTTAAAAGATTCAAGAGCCTCAGCTTGTTTTTTAGATGAAGAATTTATTAAAAGTCATAATATACAATTAGTACAAAAAACTAAATCTATACATATAGAAGTCATAGATGGTCGTCCATTATCTTCTGGAGATGTTATTCATGAAACACTTCCTATAGATGTAGTAATAAATGGTCATAATAGTTGCATAAGTTTTAATATAATTAAATCTTTCTCTAATCCAATCATTTTAGATTTATTATGGATAAAAAAGTATAACCTTGTGATAGATTGGATTTCTTGTAAATTTGACTTTTTTTCAAACATCATTAAGAATTTTTCTAATCCAATAGAAAGCCATGAGTTTAGTGTAGCCAAACTTGTATTTGTAGGTGCAAAAGTTTTTTTGCATGCCGCAAAAGAAGGATCGTCTTTTGTTATTTATGCCACATCCATTTTAAATGATAAAAATATTTCAAGTAAAATTCCAAGTCAATATCAAGATTTTAAAGATATTTTTGAGAAGAAGAATGTAGATATTCTCCTGGAGCATCATCCATATGATTGCTCAATTGATCTTAAAGAAAGAACTCAGGTGCCATTTGATCCAATCTATAGTTTATCACGAAATGAGTTAGTTGAACTCAAGAAGTACATTGATGTGAACTTGGCCAAGAATTTCATATACCATTCAAAATCTCCTATAGGAGCTCCAATCTTATTTGTAAATAAAAAAGATGGATTATTACAAATGTGTGTGCATTATCAAGGACTCAACAAGATTACCATCAAGAATAGATATCCTTTGCGTTAAATATGTAGACTTCTTAATCAATTAAATCAAGCTAAGATCTATAAAAAATAGATCTACAAGAAGCATACAATCTAATCCGCATTAAAAAAGGAGATGAATAGAAGACTACATTTTGAATAAGGTATGGGCACTTTGAATATAATGTTATACCTTTTGGACTCATGAATGCACCAGCTACTTTTCAACATCTTATAAATGATGTTTTTCATGAGTTTCTAGATGATTTTGTTGTTTATTACTTAGACAACATTTTAATCTATTCTAAGAACATAGAAGAACATGAAGTTCATGTTTATCATGTATTACAAAAAACTTAGAGATGCAAGATTGTACACCAAGATGAAAAAAGTGTGTATTCCATACTACTTAAGTTGACTTCTTATGATACATCATTTGAAACAATGGTTTAATGATAGATCCTAAAAAAAATCACACAATCATAGACTTGAAGATTTTAAAAATAATAAGAAATGTATAATATTTTTTGAGATTTGCCAATTACTATTGGATCTTCATCAAGAAATTTTTTCAAGTTGCAGTGCCACTTACATGCTTA